TTAGCAAAGGCTTTCTTCAACACTAGAACTAGACAAAGACATGGGATGTTTTCTTCATCACTAGTCCTATCACGGTGAGACACGACAACCCTTTCTTTGGTAGTAAACTGTACATTAGGCTTCAAGCCAATTAACTTTCTTTTTCCTCTTTGGAAGACAACAAGTTCATTAAGACTCCAAGCATCTTGTTCCAAATAATGATACACATGAAAAACATGTTTTGTGGAATATTAATCTTTCCAACCATCAAAAAGGCAAAGGTAACCTTTTAAGGATCCCTTTGATTTGTGGTTGGAATTGGAATTGGAATCACAATTGGAATCCCTTGAAATCAGAATCAGAATGTCTATTCCTCCTGCTTATTGTTTGGTTTAAATGGGAATTGAAATTAGCTAAAATGGATTCTCATTCCCAAAGGAAGGGGAGGGAATGGCTATTCCCTCAAATGGGGAAATGCCATTCTGCCAAGTTTTGGACTAATTCCATGTTCTTCGCTTGTTCTATCATTATGACACTCTCACTTACGATACTGGTGTCACCAACTTCACAACTTAGCACATTGCATTTTTCACCAATTTTAATAAAAAAGGATTTCTTTGGAGGCAGCTCCCTTCAGGGTTCTCCTTCCCCTTCCCTGAAGGGAGCTGCCCATATGGGTTCTCCTTCCCCTTCCTTTTTCTGGTTTCTCTCCCTCCTCCCTCTCTCTGTTTTGAGAGAGCCTTCCTCTCGAGTTTTTTTGAGGCTTCCTCTAGAGTTTTTCAAGGTTTTGTTTCTCTATTTGTGGTTTGAATCTGTTTGCGGTTCTCGTTCAAGTTAATTGTTTGCCGGTGAAGGCAGTCTTTTGGTTTCCTCCTCTATTAGTTCGCGGTTTTCTAGTAGTTGCTGTTCATGGTGAGTCCTGTTTGCGGTTCTCCGGTTGGTGTTGTTCATGGTAAGATCCGTTTGCTATTTTCCGGCAATGACAGTCTTTTGGAATCTTCCTATGTCAGTTTCATTCGCCATCTATGGTGGATTAGAGATGTGCTTGTTTACTTCCGTTGGTGATTTAACCTCACCGTTTCTCAGTTGTAGAAGATCTTTTGATTATCCTTCATCCATTGTATTTTTATTTTGTTCTCTTGAGAAATTGTTTCTGAGTTTTCTGATTGGCCTTGTTAGTTTTTTTTGTATCAATTTCTTGATTGAATGAAGTATGATGCTAATGGCGATAAAAAAAAAAAAAAACAATTTTAATGCTTGCCATCTTGATATATGCCAAGAAATGCCATATGAGAAATTCAGGTGCCTACAGATATTCGGGGAAAAGTCAATTGGGTTAGCTCTCGCCACCTCTGGAATTATTGCAACAACAATTGGGTTAGCAAAATTTCTAGCTCCCTTCCCTATTTCTGATCTTAGCTGAAACCTTTGTATCCCTGCATCTTTGTTTCATAGGCTGCATTTGAATGTGGTGTAAATGTATTTTTTACATTGTTGGAGTTATACACCGATCGATTTAAAAGTTGGGATTATTGATGTAAATGTTTACATTATTTTTATCGAAGTTAGCGTTTGCATCAATTTTAATTACACCTCATCCAAATAGCTACAAAACCTAACTAGAGTGTAATGTAATATTGGTCTAGTATTTACACCGCAAACTAACACAGCAATAAGAAAGGATTCCTTGTGTCTTTGTTTCCTAAGAAAGACAAATATAAAACAAAAAGGTAAAGAGAAGGTTTACGGGTATTTATTCAGCATCAAATATTTGATAATTCTTACACAATGGCAAAATTGGCACTTTAATTATTCAAAACCATGACATTAGAGATTGCTGCTAGGTTTCTAACGTTAAATTAACTAATAGTACGTTTAGTTGCCGAGAAATGCATGGGAACGGAAGCATTTTTAGAGAATATTCTCTTTTTCATGCGTTTGTTTCAAACGAAGCCTCGGGAAATGATGAGAAAAAACTGGGTCGTGAGTTCCTAAAAATCAATAGGTGGGATCTCACCAAAAATATTGTCGAAAGGGACCTACCAGAGAAAATATTGTCGAAAGGGACCTACCAGAGAAAATATTGTCGAAAGGGACCTACCAGACTTTGTCTCCTTCTAACCGGCCAACAATAACATCTCCAGCATTGTCTCCGGCATTTTCATTGTCAGGTAAGTTTCGATTTGGCATTCTCTCATCATTTCTATTCATTTCTATACCATTTTTGACTTGTTCTATTGGATGGGTTCTCTTCCAAATCTCATAGCCAGTTCTATCTATACTTGGTCGTCCAGATCTGGCTTTTGGAAATTGAGTTCGAATAGAGAAGAGACGAATGTTCATCTTCTCTTTCTTCCAACCGAAACCGGCGGCACTGTTTATCTTCCTCGTCTAGACACAACGAGCTGGCGGCAGCAGTTCTCAGCTCGGTAACCTTCTCCCGCTCTGGCATATTGTCTCCCCTCTCCGAATTGTTCATCATCTCGGGTCTCTTGACAAAGGCGGTGAACCAGCAGCGGGCGGTGGCTACCCGTTCTCTTTTACTCTCTCTCTATTTCTTCTCGATCACTGCTGCAATGCACAGCAGCTTCCATAACACATCAATCCTTCTGTTTTCGTATATGGATGGAAAGAGCAGACGTTAACGACGACCTAAACTTCTATTCCTCGTTGGAACGCATTAACATTTGAGACAATACCTCCATCGATGAACCACCTGGTCACATGTCGATTTGACATTTCAATTCGAAGAAAACCTTGGAATGAAGGTAAACCAAAATCCCATTGCGGCACTCGACCTTAGGCCAAATCTGACACTGGTAAATCTACCTCTCACTCTAGTCACTTCACACTGTTGTAGTGCTTAGGTTTGCTAGTTTAATATTTGGATTACCGGCAAAAAACTGGGTAGCCGAAGCTAGTGGTAAAGCTTTGCCATGGCAAGACTCAAACAATATTAGGCCATGTCGTCCCGTAAATAGGATAGGGCTGTGTTATGTAATTGGATATCATTTTTGCTTAAATCAAGCACCCTCCAAAATTTTTACACCAACCAAACACTAAAAATCAAATTCTATGGGATAATAGGTCTCGGCAAACAAACCATAGTTCTTAAAAACAACCCAAAGACCGAACCAGTCAGGGGTCCGGTTACCGGGTCGAATGGTCGACCAGTTCTGACTAAAAAAATAAAATAATTTAAAAAAATTAAAAAGCGGTCAAAACCGTTCAAACGGTTAATTGCACAGGTTAGCGGATTGCTAACCAAAATCAATGGTTTTGGACAAATTTCCGGTTTTGGGGAAAACTGAAACCAGTCACCTGATCGGTTCCCGATTTTTCCAGTTTGATCTGGTTTTGAAAACCATGAAACAAACACAAGCACCCTAATTAAGAAAGTAAAATTTTCCTTTTGGCAACCAAATGGACCATAAGGGATTAACAATTCTTTTTATCCTTGGCTAGTTGGGATGGAAATTTCTACCCTACCTAGTTGGTACTTACTTGCCCCTACCCTCCCTGATGAGTAAGGGTGTCAATGGACTAGTTTTGGATTGGTCCCCGTCTAGTCCAAAATCAATTTGGACGGATTGGATGAACCAACAAGAGATATTGGATTGGACCAATCCGGTCCAAAATATTTATTAGATTGGATTGAACCTGGTGTGTTCGTAACAAATTTATATCGGATTGGGTTGGATTAAGCCAATATCTGGTCCATTGATACAAGAATAAGAATATATGTTTCAATGGAACAGGTTTGGGTTGAAACCAATCTAAATCAAAATGAATTTGAACAGATTGAACGGTCTAGACATTGAATTGGACCGTTCCAAATTGGTCCAAAACATTCATTGGATTGGATTGGACCTGATCCATTTATAATGGACTCACATTGGATTGGATCGGATTGGACCAAATCCAGTCCAATTGACACCCCTACTAATGAGGGTGTTTTTTTTTGCTTGAAGAATGTGTTTTGAGGTGGGGACGGGTTTTGGGATTCTACAACCCAATATGGGTACAGGTAGGGTATGGTATTAGGCTAAACCTGACCCTCCTCAACCTGCATATTATTGGAAAGCATATAAATTTTATGTACTAGGTCTTTAATTTAATAACATTTTAGATTTTACATGAAGGATAATTGATAGTTTATGTATTTTTTTACATGCCTTAATCAAATAATTAGAAATTTTGTTGTTTATTTGTATTATTTTACTTGTTTATTACTTATATGTGACAAGAGATAATAAGAAATTAAATGCGGGTTGTAAACCCAACCCACCCTACCCTTCAATTCGGGGAGGGTTTTGTATTTTCATGTATGAAGAGGGTTTGAATTGTCGAAACCCAACCCACTATGGGTTTTGGGGTGGGTATGGGTTGAGAGGTTTAGAAAGGCGAGGTAAGGTCTAGAATTTACAAAACCTTTTCCAAATCTGCCCGCCCCGTTGCCATCCCTACTGGTCGGAAGTTAGGGTCAATTCAAGGCATTTTCAAAAGAATCCAGGGTCGGTTCAAGGAATTTACTTTTGTCCCCAAATTTGAAGTTCCAACCCACAACTATGCCTATCACTGATATCCGAAAATCCGTAGCCCAATCCATCATTTGACCCAATTATCTCATATTCAAATGATGTTTTGATGTAATCGGATTGAATTCAGATGTTACAATCTACGTCCAATTAATAATCAAATAGGATTCAAATTTGATCCCATCCAATCCGATTAAAAATTCGAATCTAATTGTATTATAATAATTATTAATTTTAATATATAAATTTTATATAATTATATTTAAAATTATAAAAATCTATTCTATATATTATATTATATATGAATTTATATGTATAATAAATTTAGTATGTTATATTTATATTAATTTATTATATATAAAAATTGAAAAGTAAATAAAATTTTAATTTTATAGTATTTTAAAAAATTTACAGTAAAGTCGAATTCGAATCAGAATCTTTAAATCCGATCGGATTTGGATGTAGGTTATCAATAATTGCATCCGATCCGATTACAGCGCTACTCACAACGACGCTTCAGCTTCGGTGGATCTTCCAGAAGATCCGCACAAGCCGCTTACGAGTTAACGAGAAAGGTAGTTTTTGGCAATTTACCTCCATGTTCCTCTCGCAGTAGCCTCTCTCTGTCTGACTATCTCGGTTGATCTCCCACAGGCTTGGTTTGATCGTTGATGGGTTCGCGCTCTCGCGGTACGACTGCCCCCTCTCTAGAGCATCTATGGCGAGACGAGGTTCTTTACCTCCACTCTCTCTGGCACCAGGGCCCCCCTCGAACCCCTAATGCGGACTCTAACCCTAAACCCACCAGTTCAACTAACAATGCTCTGCGTGCCAATAACCCAACGGCATTCAAGCAGAGCAGCAAGAAGAAGAGGAGGAAGAAGAAAAAGAAGAACAAGGAAAGCAGATCGAAGGAGAAGAAGGATTCAAACCCTCCGGTAGCAGTGCCAGATGTGGCGTGGCCGGTCGAACCTGCTCCGGAGCCTCTCCAGGAGACGGGCTGGCCGGACTTGAATCCTCAATCAGTTCCCACCACCAGGCCGGCTTCCGAAGAAGAACAAGCCAAGCTTGGCGCGCTACAATTGCAGCAGAAGGGCTTGAAGGCTTGCCAGGATTTCTTTTTGAGCAATGCCGGTTCAGATGACGAGGGAGAAGATGACGAGGATTTGATGGATGTGGGTGAAGAGGAATCTCAAGAGTTCCAGTTCTTTTTGGGGGTTTTCACGGAGGACGGTGAGCTGAGGAATTATTACGAGAAGAATTGGGAAGGTGGGGAGTTCTGTTGTTTGGTTTGTGGGGGAATAGGGAAGAAGGTTGGAAAGAGGTTTAAGAATTGCGTTGCGCTTGTTCAGCATTCGACGGGCATTGCGAAGACCAAGAAGAAGAGGGCTCACCGAGCTTTCGGGCAAGCCATTTGCAGAGTTCTTGGTTGGGACATTCATCGACTTCCCAGCATTGTTCTTTCGGTGGGACAGCCCCTCGGTCAATGGTTGACGAACTCTAGTTCCGAGGTAATTGTTCTTGAATGCTGCTGGGTCTAGACTGTAGATGCTTTCTGTTTATTGGTGGTACATACTTCATCACTGTAAGTGATACAATGCAGATGGGTACAAAGGAGAATGACACCAGTGAGGAAATCCTTCAAGACCAAGTTGCAGGGACTGTGAACGATGATAACAGCAAGTGGGGTCCATCTGAAAATGATAAGAGTGGTATAAGGAATACTCTTCAAGGCAGTAATGAACCAAAGGGTTTCCAGGTTAGATGCGTTTACAGTATTAATAGTTCACGATTCAGGGATTATGTACTGTTTCTGTGTCTCCTACATTCTTGCAGGTTGATTTGAAGGAAGATGACGCGAATCATGAGAAGGATGGTTTCCATAGTGAATTGATGGATAACAATGGAGAGGATCAAGGAGAAGAGATGGATTCCACGGTGAGATGATTATGTTGAATCAGTAGTTGCACATGCATTAGTGAGTGGGCCTTTTTTTCTGTGAGTGTTTCCATGAAGGAGCATGTGTTGTTTGGTTCTTACTTATCATGTGATGCAGGGGGGTTTGAAGGAAGAAGGTTCAGGCAGTCAGGGGGAAGATATTGAGAGAGACCCTAATGAAGCTGATGCTGGGAAATCAGTTGAAGAAGCTCAAGAGGACACTGTAGATGCTGTAGAAACTAAAAACTAGAAACTAACAGAAGGGAACCCGTGACTGTACAGTGAGATCTTATTCTACTTTTTGGAGTTCTTAACAAATTAGCTTTTGGCTTTTTCTTCCTTCTTATGGTTGAGTTGGGGATATTGAGAGGAGTTATCACGTTAAATATATATCTTTTCTTTTTCATTTATGCCAAGTTTCCAACAACACTGATATTAGTCCAGTGGATGTTTGTTTACAGTTTATTGATGAAAGTCATTATGTTCCGGACATGCTCATGGTATCTTTTTTTTAATGAAAATCAGTTAGTAGAAGCATATGAAAAACCTTGGTTGCATTTATCAGTGAAAAATTGCAAATTTGATTGCTTATGAAAGAGTTTATTCTTCTAAATGTTAGTTATGGGTCAGATATTAATGGATCAAATCTTATAGACAATCTGAGGTACCTTTTATCTTGATTGGTGCTGAAAAAATTTCCATAAGGTATAATAAAGATTAGGTAGAAACAGATCAAAAAATGAAAGTCATAGCACCAATCACAGGTTTGAGGTATGCCACCTTGACCTGGGGTCTAGTTGATCATCTATATCTATATCTATACTATATAATGTCAAAACTTACCTTGGTAACAGTGCAGGTCATAAAAATTGACTCAGAGTATCATATCATATAAGGTTAATACTTATGTTTTTACCCTTTACTCTTATGTATATGCTAATGAAGATGAGGAAGCAAGGAAGGAATTCATGGTGAAAAAAATCAAATTTCCAATTCCTATACCAATTTCAGAATTTTTAGGTTATAGGATATTGATACTGTTTCTTTTTTTATTTTCTAGTTGTGGGTTATTGTAACAATAGGATTCTGTTTTTTTAGATTTTTATTGTTGTTTCAAAATTACTATTTATGTAACTCTTGGTTACTATTTATGGTAATTCTTGCAACTACTATTTTTAGTAAACTCATTGGTAATTATTTTTAGTAATGTTTGGTGTCTTTAATTTGAGTTAGTTTCAATGGGATTAGGAAAACAATATTAGAGTTTTTTAGGAGTTGGAGTCCTTATTTAAGTGTCCTAATGGTTTAGGATTTGTTTTAGTTTTAAAGCAATTAGGAGTTGTTTTGGGTCAGTTTTGTAGTCCAAACTGGAGTCTGTAAAATGACATCCAAATTAATAAGTTGAGCCTATAAATATAGTCATTGTAATTGGTGTTAGAGGAAAATTTATTTGAAAAAATATTGGTTCAGTGAATTCTGGTTTTGCCAGATTTTTTTTTTTTCCTTTTTTCCCGTCTCTCTTTATTGTTTAACCTGACAGAAAGCATTCTACTTGCTTCTCCATCCATATTCTTCTCTGATCACCCATCATCCCTCATTCACCCCACAAAGTCCACCACCAGATCCTAAGTTAGTAGGACCCGTATCCATCCCACTTCACGTGCATAATATGTGCCCTTACACCAGTGTTCTAAAATTTCTTTGGCTAGGAAATTGTACAGCTGGTTAATGGTGGATCTCGCCCATTGATCTTTTGGTCGATATGGGCTACCTGCTAATCCCTGTACTTATAATAGCACCATTTCTCTCTCTCTCTCTCTAACTCCCCAAAAAAGTGTGTAGAAGCTGTTTTTATCTTTTACAAATAGCAACTGAAAACTAAAATTACTTTTGGAAGATAGCCTTGGAGATATCAGGGCTAAGTTGTAAACATCCTGATGTCTTTTTATTAGTATTAGTACTGAAGTTCTGACTTTCAGTCTATAAAGAATATTTATGTTCAACATTTATGCCTTTTAGGCTTGTGGCTTTCTTTGTTCAACTTTTTTGCCTATTTGTGAATATCAACTATTTATTTAATTAATGTTGTATGTTGCATAAGATTGGAAGTGACCATCTTTATAGAACTATAGATACAAATCCTTATCTGCTGTAATGCAGGTTATCCTGAATCTGTAAAATAGATCATGTTGAGAAAATTATGCCCATTTATTCCTTACAAGGATGGCAGGCAGACTATGTAAAAGCAAAAACTTGGGGGATTCTTGAGTGCGGAATGTGCTTAAAACCTTTGCCCAGTAAAATGTTCCTTTTTCGGTTGGCAGCAAATAGAACCTCATTATTAAAGGATAAATGATTTCCATTTATTGGTGAAAGAACCTGTGTCTCTTTGGATTTTTAGTCACTGAAATCTCACCATTAATTAAATGGTATGCAAAGATCTCATGCTTGTAAAAAGACCTCATTGTAAAAGTGATATCTAGTTTTTTTTTTTTTTGTGTGTTGTGGGGTTGGGGGGGGGGGTTATAGGTGTCAATGGCAGAAATTCTACCAGATTCGAAGTATAAGATTAGAGGGGATAAGGGACCATGGGTGGTGACAGATAGCAGTTAGCGAAGATGCTGATGAATCGTGAATGCATTGCCTGCTAGCATGTCTGGAATCTTGTATTCTGATAAAATGACCATTTTACGGTCTTGGTAGAATCTAAGCAATCCGGAAGTTATACAAGTAAATCTAAGTTCTTGACATGCTTGCTTATGATTGGGTTTCCTGGCCCATTGTACATGTCTTATTTGTAGCACAGATCTGAAGTCCTGCAGTCACCTTCGGAAGAAAAGAAACAAATTTGCATTATTTTCCTAGGCTGCAATCTTAGTTTTGCTTGGAATATCCTTCTTTGTTCCGATGACAGTGTAAATGTTGGTGCATTTATTAGAAAAAGTGTCGCCCAGATGTATATGCTTGCTTATGATTGGGTTTCCTGGCCCATTGAACATGTCTTATTTGTAGCAGATCTGAGAGTACTGTAGGTCACCTTGGGAAGGAAAGAAACAAATTTGCAATTTTTTCCTAGGCTCAATCTTAGTTTTGCTTGGAATATCCTTATTTGTTCCGGTGACAGTGTAAATGTTGGTGCATTTATTAGAAAAAGGGTCCCCAACATGTGGGTGATATATTGAAATCTTAACTCTGTGAGACTGAGAAGTCCAGTATTTTGGCTATTGAATGATTGATTTGTAAATGGAAGATCTGCTTACATGAGCAGATGCTAGGGGTGAGACTGGATGTGGATGGTAGAATTCCAAGATAGAGCCTCATAATCTGATTAGCTATCAGAGAATTTATAAAAGATTCAATTTCGGGTTTGTGTCATCCATGTCAATCTAACCTAAACAGGAACTAATAGGGAGAGTACTATGTAATTCATCTTATGTATGTATCACATTGTGTATTGGTGATGAGAGGTGGAACTTTGCAACCTGAAAGGCTGAAACCCAGGTCCAGACCTCACGCCTATCAATGAAATTAGTTTGCTTGATCTAAGATACAAAGCCCCTACCCTGTACTTAGGTGGTTGTGACACTTGGCTCCTCGAATTTTATTTTGCCACAAAGACCCCTATATACTAAGCCCACTTGGCTATGTATCACTTTCTGTAACCGATCACAATTGAACACGCCTCTGCTCTATACTGAAAGTAGGTGGGTGTTCATAATTTATCCTTGTATTTTTGGTAAGCACACTTTAAGAGTTTTGGGTGCCTAAATTCATAGCTTTATACTTTAGGTCTCTATTTTTATTTATTAGTTTGTCACTTGGTCAAATTTTTTGAATATGTTTTGACCCAAACCATTTTGTTACAAACTACCAAACACCCAATGCATGTGCAAATTACCAAATGCCACAACTTTGCACTTGGATGTCCAATTGTATTGATTTTTTTTTTAATTTTTTAATTTTGAGCAACTTTTTGAAATTCATGCTGACTCAAGGCGTTGAATGCCCCACTATTTTTGCCAAAAGATCTATATTTTTTGGTTCTCAAATCACAATTTTTAATATTTTTTACAAATAAAAAAAACTAAAAAATATGTATTAAATATATAACTTAAAACATACAATAAAATTGGTCTCATGCAACAAAGTCTGACCTGGACTGTCGAACCAATGACTCTCGACCCAAAGGCAAAAGTAGTTCAGCCTTTGGGTCAGTTTTTATAACATTCATCATGATTTTCATTTATTTTGATACTTTTTATGAAATTAGATATTGGGTTTTCCGTGCATCACACGGTACTCGCTAGTACTCTATATATGACAAAACTAATTTATAAGTAATTTATCATAGACCAACCCTCCAAGTGATAGTTTTTTATTTAATTTGGGACTAAATTGGGATTAATTTGTATTCAAAATTTCAAATAGCCTACTTTATCTAGAAGAATGAGACTCACTCTAATATATAATATGATGTTTTGAAAGGTTTTTATTTAAAAAAGAAAACTAAAATTAAACTTGATTTGTTATTAGGATATGAGCTAACTTTTTTTTTTTTTTTTTTCCTTCGAATAAGAAAACAGCACTTTATGCGAGCTAACAACGTATCTGAAGAAGCCTTCTTCTCTGAGGGCTTATATATAAATATAGATAACTTGTTAGTTGTTACCACTTACCAGCCAGAATGCAGTATTTTTCAGTGGAGTTTAATTATGATTTATTTTATTTTTGTTTTTAATATTCCTTTTTGACTTTCTTTGATGGAAGGGCTCCGGTGTGCTTTTACGTAGGGAACGTATTTCTACTATAGAAATTTCCCCAACCGAAAAAAGTGGTAGAAATTTGTTTATTTAATTTCCTCAAAAAAATAATAGGTACAACTTTGAATTTTAATATTTTTTCTCTATTTTTTATATAAGAAAGTTGTCAAAAGAAACAACTTTTACATGAAGTCAAAATGACTAATAGGTCCTTGTATTTGCGTTATTATGTCAACAGTACCAAATTACAACATTACATTTTATTAAAAACAGAGCCAAGTAATAGAGAATATATTACCACAATACCACCTATTTATTTATTTAGTACAGACATAGATGCGAAGAGAGCCAAACGTCTAATTTCACAAACGCCTCCCTTTTATTTTCTTGAACTAAAGTGGCATATCCATCCTCCCTAACTCCTTTATCTATCATACGAAGGTGTCTTTCATGTTGCTGCAAGAAAATTACAACAAAGAAATCAATAAAACAAGTCTAGAACTCCATAAATTGAAAAATTGCATCAAAATTATCTAACTCCCAATCTAAAAAATGATATCCGAATATGATCCAGTCTGATAAGAGTGACATATATCTGAATATGATCTAATCCGATTTAATTCTTAAAAAAATTAATAAATTGTTAGAAGAAAAAATATAATAATTTAAATAAAAAAATCAAAAAAATAAAAAAAATATATTTTTAATTATTTTCATCTCATATATTTATGCTTTTTATAAAAAATTTACAAAAATATAATATAAATATCATATTTATAAATAAAATAAATAACATGTATGATATATGAGGATATTAGAATCTGACAAAATAGGATTAGATGGATCATGATCCGATCAATTTGCACCCCTATTCAAATAGGAGGCATGGGTTCAAAGTTTAAACCCAGGGAACTACAGGCCTCCATGCTATGGCCAATGGACTTCAAGTGCACCCTGTTCTTTCCCACTCTCAGGCTTCAATTCCCGTCTTGTAATGCCTAACATGTAAATTGTCCCATTACACTAAACAATGGTCCCTCCCCACACAAAAACACATAAACAAAAGTAAGAAAAAAATTCCTTAATTTTATTTTTTTAACTACACAATCGTCCATCCCCATCCCATAGAGTTCAGATCTGCGCCCCACAATGCCCCACAGCACATCCTGGCCTTGTATTGGGAACATCTCTCGATGACAAGTATGGGAGATGTTCCCAATACATTGAGGGGCGCAGATGTGAACTCCAACCCATAAATCCCCACCATGGTGCAAGAGGGATTTGATCCTAAGCCTCTGAGGCTACCAACCAACCAATTGGCACCTTGCATTTTTAAATTGGTTAAGCTTTTATAGACCTCCTGCCCAAACTGGTTTTATAGATAAAAAGTAGTTAAATTACAAATTGACAACCGCTACCACAACTTTGAATCAAAATGGAAAAGAAAAGAAACGTAAGATAGAAATTCAAACCTTTCAAAAGAAGCACTTGTTACACTAAGGCTACAGAGCCCTTCACATCTATGGTAGGTGGGATTGGGTAGGATTCTTGGTGGGGTAGTATGGCCAAACATTGATGTTACATACTCCATTCTTCAACTCATGGTTTCTCTCTATGTTTATATATCCAGAATCCCCCCAGTTAGCTCCCCATGAATTCTTCACAATCCAGTAATCTGTGCCATCTTCAGAAGTTCCATAGCCAACGATTAGAACTGCGTGATTCGTTTTCAAATTATTTGGGTTTGACGGACAACTTGCTCCTCTGTAGATGCCCTGATTAATTAATTTGTGTTTGTTAGACTTGATCGATCACTGCACAGCATAAATATTAACTGTCATGATTCATTAAGGCTATGCTTGATTTGAAGGAAAAGGCCGGGAAAACAATACAAGATTTGTAAAAGGTTTTCTTACCTTTCTATTCCTTTCCTTACATTTTCCTTCAAACCAAATATAGCCTAAGTGTGTTGAAGTGCAGGAAATCCAAACTTTATTGCAATATTTGACTTACATTCTTGTACAGATGAAAATCCTTTAAAACCAAAATGGATGCACTGACTGGTTGCTGAGTGACTGCACAAAGGAGTGATTCCTCATCTCTAGCAACTTTTTTGTAGCCGTCAATTGTTACCTTATTGGGCTATCGGCCAAATAACAGAAGTCAGAATTTTGATTTAATTAAAAAGAGTTTTGGTGGTTGTTAATTTTAATAGCACACTACAAGATAATAAAAAAGAAAAAAATATACACAAAGCGAAGGATTATTAGATTGTGTTTGGTTGGTACTTATGCTGATTAGGCATTGGACAAATGTTTTGAGTAATATTGTGTTTGGTACACCCTAGTAGACTGACTCTCATCCGATGACAAAAAAAAAAAAAAAAAATCTTTGTTTCGGAGGTAGACTTTATGGGTATTTGATGGAGTATATCTATCTTTGCTAGTATGCAATGATTTCGGCTTCTATCAAGGAAACTTGGTGCTTGCACCATTCGAGCCGAGCCGAATAGTATCAGGCTCGAGCTCGAGTTCGGTTCGAGTCAGAACCTTGAGCTCGAGCTCGGTTCAAGATTATTCTACAAGGCTAGAGTCAAAAGTTTATAAGCTCGAGCTTGACTCGGCTTGGTTCGTTTTATATTTTATAAAAATATTTAGAAAAAATATTTTATAAAAATAAAAATTATATATAATTATTTTATTTTATATTTAAAAAATTAAGAATTATAATATTTTTATTATATATATTATTTTCTATAATTTTATTATATATATATATTCGAGCTGGCTTGTGAGCCTCATGAGCTGAGCTCTAGTAGGCTTGAGCTCGGCTCATTTAATAATCGAGCCATTGAATTGGGCTCGAGCTGAGCTGAAACCGAACCGAACTTTTCACGAACTGAGCTCGAATAGCTCGTAAAAAGCTCAGCTCGTTGCCACCCCTACTTACATTGGAAATATCTCCCATGAAATAAATCACATAAGTACGGAGATATTCCTAATGTAAGGCTGTAAAGGTTGTTGGAATGGGCTTTGTCCTGACTGAAGCCAGACTCGTATGTGATGCACCAGAATATATTTCTACACTGTCATATAGGCTGTTAATCAAGAGCCAGCCAAATCATCGGACTGTTTCTTGAAACAGGCAGTTGATGGAGAAAACATCAATTCCCCCATCATCACCCCCTGGTTTATGTTTCTATACAAATGCTTTATGACTATTTTAAGTCAAAACAGTCGCAACAACATAAAAAATTGATGTTTAAACTCAGAACGCCTAGTAAGGCAGTGCTGATGTAGTATAATCAGCCGTTGAAAACAGATCAGATGTAATTTCTTTGAATTAATTAATATTATTATATTTAATTTTTACTGATCAACATAAGTTATTAAGAAGCTATATGTGCTAGCTTCTTACAACTTCACAAGCAATGTTGGCGTTGATTTAACCTATCGATACTTCCAAATCGATCTGTACTATTGATTGAACCCAGAAGGATCATTCATCCCATGTTCCTTCTCCACTACAAAATTATTTTATGCCTATAGCTAGCTAGCTAGATATACAAATTAAGAACCTTTTACTTGTCATAGACGAGAACAACAAAATGAGGCAATGGTTGTTTCCAATTAGGAAGCTACCAAGAAATTAAGCTCTTGTATAGTTAATTAGTTGTATGGGACATGGGACTCAAGCCACAATTCCAACATCTCAATTAGAAAAATACAAAGTTGAAGAATCAAGAGAGCTTACTTACAACGTTGGTTTTGCAAGTTCCATTCTTCCCAATGTAAGGATATTGAGATTCGGTTGTTATACCTCCATTATCTATAACCCATTGTAACGCCCTACTCTTGGAACCACCATTGCAACCATGGTTGGTTTTAACACAATCTACGAGTTGTTGTTCTGAGAGGCTTACAAGTTGTCTAGTGACTATGCCATTTATTCCTTCTATGGCTCCCGTTGTAGAAAATGCCCAACAACTCCCTAACAATGAAACATTGCAACTTCAATCCAAATACTTCAGATCAGTACAATATATATGATGGAAAAACAAACAATTGCTCACCACATTTTCCTTGATTCTTAACGGGGGTTACGACACCATTCTCCCTCCAATCAACTGATGAAGGATGTGAGCATGTCAGCTTCACTCTGTTTATTGCAGTTACCTCCGATATGCTCTCTGCAGGCTCCATGTTAGAAAGATAAATCTCACTGAATTCATCGAAACTCATGTCTGAAAATTGATTGAGTCCCATTGTGTGATCAGATGGCTTTCTCTTAGAGTTCCAGTCGATCACATAGGCTAAGTTGCTTTGAAATATCTTGAATCTTTTCTCTTTCTCTTCTGAGCTCGTGTAGACCTTCTCATGCTTCGCCTTCCATCTCTTGAAGAGCAATGCAAGTCCCTCTTGGGAGACTATTTCATCAGGACTGTAATCTATGATGGAGTAGTATTCATTAGGTATGCCTAAATTACGGCTGACCATGGAGAAGATCCCCAAGGTGAAGATTATTAAAGCCTCAGATTTCAGACCGCCCATTGCACCCTAGTATGAAACTGTATGATCCCTTAACAGATAGGGAATAGTTTTTGGGTGGTGGTGGTGGCGGTGGTGATTCTCTATATATAGAGCAGTAGAACCAGAAGACAAACCTCCTATCAGTCATGTGGGCGGGCATTCCTGTAGGCAGGCACATGGTTGTCAAACAATAGCCATAATTTCATCAACATCATCATCGTCATCCCCATTCCTTAGCCCAACCATACGGGGTCAGCTACATGAATCCTATTTTGACAATTCATTGTATTTAAAGTCATATCCACTATTGAATTATTAGACTTAAATCATTTCTTACTGTTCTTTTTATTTACCCTGAGCTCTTTTATATCCCTCTCAATGTATAATTTGTCAAATGACCATGATTTCATGAAAGATGATTTGTTTTAAATATAAACTATTACCATGAAATATCTCTTTTGGACTTCCTCACTCATTAAGGCTATGTTTGATTTAAAGAAAAAGGCAAGAAAATGAAGGAAAACATAGAGAAACTTAAACAAAGGTTTGTAAAGATTTCTTTTACCTTTTCCTTCAAACAAAACATAGCCTTAAATAATTATCAAATGACCTTTATAATAATTCTTACTATAGTGCAGAAAAAAAATTTTGCCACATCATAAAGCTAAAATTTAACTGATCATAAGAAATGTGAATTACCTTTGACTCATGACCGACTAAGCATCTGCTATCCGTGCGGCCGTGCCAACCCTTAATAGGGAAAGTGGAAACATCTCCTCATGAATGACAGTAGATGTTCCATGCGACTGCAGTATCTTGTGGGTAGGTATGGCTGGATGATCGAAGTGCCTTGTAACATGCTATTATGGGTCACAATAGATAATTACCAAATTCATAGGGGTGCTTGGCTATATGTGTTTGATATTATCAATACAACCAATTCTTGTGGCTGCACTATAGTTATGTTACTTGAGCAAGCTTTGTATTAAATGCTTTTAGCACATTGGTATTTATGTTAATTGTATGATGGGTGATAAGTCTATATTTGTACATATTTTCATACCTCTAACTTGATAATTTTGGTAATAATGTTTTTGGAATTAGCATGGTGTTGCACTAATTATGATGAAATTGTCTTGCAAGATGATTTGGAGCTTAATTATGCAATTTTAAGGAGGAGTTCAATTTAATTGATCAAAGATAATCATAGAGGAATGATCATGCAGTAATGATGCTCCATGATGTAGCCATGAAGGAGAGAATCCATTGAAATCGGATTTGATATGTATGCACAAAAATCGGAAAATTTTCTATTTTGATATAGTTCCCATATTTTGGGCATAACTTTCTACCTACAACTCGGATTTAGGTGATTCAAATGGATAATTAAAGATAAGAGATAGAGCTACAACTCTTATGTTTATCACTCAACCTAATTCCGCCGCTAACCAAGTGAAATTCGAGCTACACGTTTCGGGTCTAGCAGTTGGCAGTGCAAAAGAGATAGGAATTCAACTGAGATAAAGACTAAGAGACCTAATTTGTGTTGAATTAGGAATCTACATTGAGAAGCAATTGAGGGGAGGCTATACTATAAAAAAGACCATAGACTCAAGGCAAAGGGGCACATCCTTAGAAAGAATTTAACAGAGAAGAGAAGAGGAAGCAGTCTCAGTACATCAGAAGAGAAGAGGAAGCAATTTCAGCATGCCAGATAAGGAGAGGAAGAATTCGAATTCAAGAGGGAGAAAGACTTAGTTGCTGCACTTGTCTTCTACTTTCAAAGGTTAAAGTTTTCTTATTATTCTATTCATTCTTTAATGTGTTCTTACTGTTTTTGCCCTTTAATTTTCTTGAGTATGTTGAATTTAATGATGTCTAACTAAATTCTCTTACCTAGGGTTTAGATGGATTTTGATCTTAAGATTATATAGTTATTTGTTTAATTCAATTCAAGATCTTTATTATTTGCATGAAGAATTTTTATTGCTATGCTTAATGCTTTAAAAAAATTGGCCAATCTTTTAATGATTTGACGATTCATGCATGACTGATCAAAGGATTGCTATGAATTAGATCCCTAAGCAACAAAAATCGCATGATAGACTATGATATCGAAAGATGATTAGCTCATGTGTGAGAATCAATGAAGCATAGTGAGTCAAATCCCCTTCTACGATTAGAGATTTCCAAAGAAATCAATGCTTATTTTTCCTTTTGACAATCATTTAGAAATTTGAAGGTAGAGTTGGATTAATATGACTTGAGAAAAGCTTATTAATTAATTTAGGAAAATCCACCATTACATGCAAATAACTTTAATATACCTTAGGGTAATTTCGGTTTTGAGTTGGATTAAATAGGTAATTATATAACCTTGATTTAATGAAATCTAAACCCTAGCTGCATTCATCCATCAATTCAATTTTTATTAAGTTATTGGATTTGCATTATGATGAACTTACAATTTATCTATAATTTTGGAGGACTTTAGCATGGATTTTTATGCCGATTTTATTAATTTTTGCCTTAATTTAGCTTAATGCTAAGAATAAGTTTCATGGGTAATTAATCCAAGAAAATGAAGGAAAAAGGCAAGAAAAGAAAGTTCAAAAAGACCAAATTCAGCCCAGCCCGGTTGTGGAAGCAAGAGAGCACTTCGGCCCAAGAAGAGCAAGTGGATTCCTTGAGAAAACCCAAGAAAAAAAAGCCTAGCTAAGAGTAGAATTCGGCCCAGCAAAGAAGGCCCATTCTCAGCCCAAAAGATCAGCTCAAAGTATACCTATCATGTGCTAAGAGAGAGCCTAAGTGCAGCCCAAATAGCAACCCTTAGGAGGCTTTCAAGAGAGCTCTAGAAAGTTCAAGAAAGGGGTGTAATACACCCCATTCTAGAGGCTTCAAGAAGGGGCAAGAGCCCCCTTGAAAAACTATATAAGGAGGCCTCTAGAAGGGGGGAGAGGTGTTCAATTGCTTGAGAGGAAAGCTCTCCCACTCTTAGAGGTTCAACCACCTTGACAGAAGAGAAGAGAAGAAGGCTAGGCGCAAGGAAGAAGAAAAAGAAGGGCTCGAGGAAGTTCAAGTCAAGCAAGCAAGAAGAAGAAGGTGAGTTCAAAATTGGGGGTTTATGATTCAAAGATCTTTTGTAATAACTCAATTGTAGTTTCATTCTCCTTTAATTTGAATTCAATTTCTTTGTTATATTTTCTTTTTTCTTTCTTCTTCTTCCATTCTTTATTGATGTATTTCAGCTTGTAAAATTTTAGTTCAGCAATCAAATTCTTTTTTATTCATTCGAATGGTTATGAATTGTACTTGAAGTTTCTTGAATAGGGGTTAAATTGTAGATTAATTCGGCCAATTAACCTTCAAAACTCAGATATGAATTCTCAGATCTGAGATTGCAAGATCTGAATTGCTTGAAAGAGAATTCAGATATGCAAATTTCAGATTGGCCGAATGGATCCAAAGCTTGGATTTCCTAGAGTGCTTGAGAGAGACTCTAGGAATTCGGATCTACTATTCAAGAACTGAATTGAGTGCAAAGTTAGAGATAACTTGCACAATTTAGTTGGTGATCTCAGATTTGAATTGATGCCTTAGAAATGTTTGAAGAAATGCATGCATGGGGATTAGATTCTTGCTAGAGATAGAAGAACCGTCACCCATGCATAGGATGAACATGCGCTTGAGAGAGGCTGTTCATGACCTTGGGGTTTCACCAAACCAAGGCTCAATCATGATTTATTCGAATGATCCAAATTGATAGATTGCTGAATTCCTAACCCGATTTGAAGGCAATTGGGCCAATGATTTAGATAGATTTTAGTTTAGGATTTTTAGCTTTCATTGAAGTTTTGATTTATTTGTTAATCAGATAAGAAGTACTCAATTTAGTATTGATACTTGTTACCTAAATCCTCGTGGGAACGATACTCTATTCACTACTTTACTACTTGAACGGCTAGTGCACTTGCTAGTATCACAATGAGCCACATCAAGTTTTTGGCGCCGTTACCGGGGATTTAGGGAAGCAATATTAGGAAACATTGGGCATTCTTAATCTGGTCTCAGTCATCATTGCATTTATATATGGTTTTAATTGCTTCATTTTATATTTTAGCTTTGAATGCAACAACTGTACTGATTTAATTATGTTTCTTCTTTCTTTAGTAGATTACTTCCTTTCCTTGTTTCAGTTTCATTTTAATAAAGGTAGATTTGATTTCCTTTCAAAATTGCGTCTATGGGTTCCAAGTATTCAAAATTGAATATTTTGTAAACCTTCATCGTGAGTGAACATGTTTGCATGTTTCATGGTGATCGTCCATCATAACTGGCTTCTAATTACAAATTGTTAGAAAAGAGAGAGAAATTGGCTATTGTTTCATTTTTCAATTTTTTTCTAAGTGCGATAAGGTAGTAAACAATCTTAGTATGCACATAGGGAAGGGTATTTGATCCTTTTTTGTAGAAGGATGTGGATTACTTTTCATAAATATGTACCATTATGTCATAAATGTGCTAGTTTCTTGGTGCTTTTGCACTAGTGTTTTTATCACGGCGTTAGTGCGCTATTGGCCTTAGTGTATTATGTTCGGGTCCTGATGCCTAGCGAGTTTAAACGTAGAGGAAATTTTTCTCATTGTATTAGAGCTTACAAATGAGAGAACCTTCGGAATGATTTCCTAGAAAACTTTGTTACTCATTTGGAATTTGTAATAAAACTTTATCGCATATGTGAGTTTTGTCGTGACTTGCATTAGCACAAATGACGAATCATTTAAAGTTGGTCATTTTGTGCACTTCGTTACAAATAAGCACTTTTCATAAGTGTTATAGGAGTTGGTCGTGTAATCAACCATTAATTATGAACTACTATAAAAGGAGATCATGCGTGCCCCTTAGTTTGGGGACTCAGCACAAGTATTAAACGTTGTTGAGAAAGAAAGAAAGTTGCAAGTGTCCACTAACATTGGGAGGGACTTCGCATGTTTTCTAGGTAACATCAGAAATAATAGGATTCAAGTATTTCAGGGTCGAGCGCCCGTTGGACTCCATCGCAATCAAGTATCAGTACAGGCATAGTCAAA